AATAAAAAATTTGGCAATTAATTTGATAGAAATTATTTATTTAATTTATTTTTTTCAAAATTATTTTTTTTGTCAATTTAATTACCAATGCAACAATTGAACGCAACAAATTAATTAATTATTTTTTTTTAATTTATAATATATATATTTAAAATAAAATGTGTGTGTGTGCATGTATGCATGTGTATATGTGTTTGTATATATAAATTTATATTTATATATAATATATGTATGTATGTATGTGTATGTGTGTTTGTGAGTATGTATGTGTGAGTATGTATGTGTGTGTATGAGTGTGTATGTATGTATGTGTGTGTATGTATGTATGTGTGTGTATGTATGTGTGTATTTAATGGTGAGAATTTGAACTTTTATTATTATTTTACATTTGAAATAAATAAAAAACAAATAACAACTAAATGAATAAATAATTAAAACCAATATATAAAATATATAATATGAAATTAAAAAGCATTTAATTGTCTTAAGGAAAGTAAATTATAACATATTATTATTTAAAACTATTGTATTTACTTATATATATATACCGTAAATACAGGTATAAATTGAATACATATATTCACGTAATGTGTCATTAATACTGTTTATTAATTAAAAAAAATAAAAACACAATAACCTCTATTTGCTAAACATGTATAAAATTTACGGTATATATATATACAGTATATAAAATTTTATACCTATAACTGTAAAACATTGGGTGCTTAAACACGACATATACAGTATATATATATATATATATAATATATATAATATTTAGGCATTCATTCATTTATATAATATGTTATTATAAATTGAATTGAAAAACACAAACAAACAACAAACAAACTAATTGCATATACATATTATTAAATATATTATTAAATACTTTTATTTAAAAAAATAGCATTAATTATAAGTAATAATTTATTTTTCAAAACAAGCTCTCTCTCTCTCTCTCTCTCTCTCTCTCTCTCATAACTTTCCATATAATTAATAAATGCATTTTTCTACAGTGTTTGTATTGTTTATTGTTTTTTTTGGTTTTTTGGTTTTTTGGTTTTACAAGTGTGGTGTGTGTGTGTGTGTTTGGTTTGGTTTGGTTTAAAACAATTGAAAGCCCCATAAAATCATAGCGTAATATTTCAATTAACAATAAAATAACTTTCAATTAAAAACTAATAGTCAGAGAGAGAGAGAGAGAGAGAGAGAGAGAGAGAGAGAGAGAGAGAGAGAGAGAGCACCCGGTGTTCTCTCTCTCTCTCTCTCTCTTTCTGTGGCTATGGTTATGCATATTATTGGTTTTACAAAATGGTTAACTAAATATGTCCTCAAATTATTATTCATTATTTGGTTGTTAAAGGTTTGCCAACAATACTATAGCTAAATACAAAAAAAATGATTTTAATTTTTTTATAATAAATATTATTATTATTATTATTACATTACTATTATTGCAATTTTCAAAATTCAAGGTTTTCTGTTAAAAAATAATAATAATATAATTAAATATAAACTGTATATAACGTTATACAATATGTTTTATATATTGAAATTGCATTCATAAATGTACTGTATATTAGTATTATTATTATTAAATAGAAATAAATCAATTGTAAAAATCAATTGCATATTAAAATTTTAATTACATTTTAGATATTGTTTTTGTTTTGTTTTTTTGCTTCAATTGTTTTTTTCCCATAAAATTTAATTTATTTCTAGTTTAATAACTTTTTTGCTGAATAGTTGTAAAAATCAAAATATAATTTGCTTTTATAAAACTTATAAAAATTATAACATAATAAGCAATATATTTCAAGTATATAACAACTGTATATATTTTTCTGTATAAAATGTTTATCTTTTAATATTAAGAAAATATAATAATAATACCCACAAAAAAATCAAATTTAATTAACACTTTTATTCAATTATTTTTTTGTTGTTAAATTTTTTAATATAATAATATTTATAAATATAATATCTATTATATATATATTTGTTTATATAATAAGCATTTTTTTTTAAAAGTATAAAAACTATTATTTTGCTTAATTGAAAAATTTCGTGTCAACAAAAAAATTGATTTTATTTCCATTAAAAAAATATTGTATAAACAATTTTTTTAGTATATTTTCAAAAATAATAACAAACAAAAAAAAAGTTGCAAATAATGCAATTTAAATTAAATTAAAATATTTATGTAATTGAATCACACATATTATCTTGAATTATAGTGTTTTTTATTTTTAAAAATAAAATAGTATTATATTTTGTTAATTTTAATATATTTTTTTCAAACAAAAAACAAATATAACAGTCACACACACACACACACACACACACACACACACACATAGACACACACACACACACACACACACACACACAATAACTTGACATTAATTTCATTGAAAAAAAATTGAAAATTAAAACGAAAAGATTAAAACTAAATATATTTTTCTTAAACTTAAAAAAATAAGTTTGCATTTCACAGATTATCTCCAAACAAAAAAAATTAAATAAATAAATAAAAAGTCAATTGTAATAACACACACATAGATAAATAGAAAAAATATTTATTTATTTATTTAGCATAATATTCACGTATTTTTGTTTTGTTTAATAATAATAATGAAAAAAATAATTAAAAAAGAAAGTAAAAATTATTTACTTTATTTAATTTTTTTTTCAATATATATACTTACATTTAAATAAAATTAAAATAATAATAATACTATTTATTTTTTTTGTTTATTTGTTTATTTATTTATTAAGTTTTTTCTCTCTCTCTCTCTCTCTCTCTCTGAAAATTTTGTTCTCAATTAGATTTTTTTGTATATATATATACAGTATATATATTATATATATATTGTATTTTATATTAAATATATTATCTCATAATAATAAAAAAAACAACACAAACTTTGCGATAGCGTTATTGCATATTATGTTTATATGTATAATATATATACTCATTATAATAAATAATGATAATTGTTAACATAATAATAAAAAAAAATTTGAGAGTATTATCTTAATATTATAATAATATACAGTACAGTATTAAAAGATATTATTATATGATATATTAAAATTAAGTTAAGGAAATGAATGCATTTATACAGTATATACTGTATATATATGTGTGTTATACAAATGAAACTCACATTTAGTTTAATTTATTTAATCCAAACATTATTTAATTTTTTTTTCTCTACATTATTATTATCTATTAAAATCTCTCTCTCTCTCTCTCTCTCTCTCTCTCTCTTTATCACTCTTTCTTACTGAGAGATAGATATATCAGTTAAACTGAAATAATAAAATATTTGTTTAAAATATTTAGTTCAAAATTACTGTTCACACATGAATTATATAAACTTATTGTTAGTTATTTATTAATTAAAAAAATTTTTAAAAACTATAGTAAATTTTTAGTTTATATATACAATTGTGTATTCAATTTGTGTGTGATTTTAATATAATAAACTAATTATCAATACTATAGTATATTAATGTAATTATAATAAATATGACATTATTATTATTTTTTTTGTAATAATATTTTAACATCAATTTATAATATATTAGTCAAATTAATTGAAATAACATATTATTTATGTTTGAAATTATATAAATTTTTATAATTTTATGAACAAATATATGTAAATTTTTATGTTATATAATAATAATAAAAAATTTTGTTGTAAATATTACAAAAAGTTTTTTAATTAAAAAATCATAAAAATTTACTCATAATAAAAATTCAACGATTTAATAAACAATTTATAAAAAAAAATTAAATATATTTAAATTTTATTAGAATTTAGTTTTTTATATTATTTTAAAATTATAAACAAAACAAAACAAAAATATAAATTAAATTAAAATTTTATAGAAAATTAAAAGATATTTCATTTACATCACACATACACACAGAAAATTTTTTTAAAAAATTTTTTTGTTTATAATTTTTATGAGATTTACATGTTGTTATGCAAAAGTAAATTACACATTAAAAATGATAATAAATTCCTTAAAATTAATTTTTTTTTTGAAAAAAATAAATATAAACCAGTTGAGAATGCTAGAAAGCATTTCCACACGAATTCCTAATCATAATTAAAAATTAAATTCAGTATGATAAAATAAAATCAACTATAGTTATGTAGGGTATCAAACGATTTAGTATGACAAAATAAACAACTATAGTCATGTGGGGTATCAAATGATTCAGTATTACAAAATAAACTACTATTTTCCTAAAAAATAAACTTAAAAACGAAAAAAATAAAAAATCAATATTCAAAAAAATTCAAAAAAAAATTCAAAAATAAAAAATTCAAAAAAAAAATTCAAAAAAAAATTCAAAATTTTTTTAATTAATTTTTGGACACCATTTTCTTCAATTTCCTAAAAAATAAACTTAAATAAGAAAAAAAACAAAAAAAAAATTCAAAAAAAATTTGTAGCGGATAGTGGATTCGAACCTATGTCCTCGTGGGACAGACAGACCGACAGACAGACAGACAGACAGACCGACAGACAGACAGACTTATAGAATGCATATACGTATTCCTTTCAGGAATTCGTGAAAATTGCAAATATTTTTATATTTAAATGTAACTTATAATATATATATATAAATTATTTTATGACTTTTATAATAATAAAACTTAATTTGATGATTTTGATAACAAGATTTTTTTTAAAAAAAATAATAAAAACATTATTATTATTATATAAATTATATAATAATAATAATAATAATTTTTTTTTTTTAAAAAAAAGTTGTAATAAATTCCACGATTTTTAAATTTATTTATTTTTAATAAAATTATTTAAATTATAATTAATTAATTAAAATCATTAATGCGATATTAAGTACCGTATAAAACAAAAGTTATGCAATAATTTTTTTAATCACATATTTTTTTATTATAAAAAAATTATTTTTATGTTTTATTTTCTATTAATTTTGTTTTTTATGTGGACAGTCGTGTCAAGGCTTACAACTAAACGATGAGTTTAGTCCGTCGGTCACTGCCCGATGCGATCGGGGACTTATGTACATATATGTAGTCACATTGCAGCCATTTAACGGTGTCGTACATACTCGGGGTCATCGGAAACATCCGTGTCTGGTTCAGGGATCGGGCGGTTTCAATACGACCATCAAAGTCAGCCTATTGGCCAACGAAGGCGATGAACTATACTGTGGTTATAATAAGTTTAATGTAAGGTTTTTAAAAAAAAATAAATATTATTACCGCTAATAACATAATACAATTGACTTTATAGGGCGACCGATCGGTATCGGTAGCCGTTAGGCCACACAAATCGCTGGAACTATCGGACGATAAATACTATTTCATGACTTGTCAACAGTTGGGCTACAAGAGTGTCAGGTTTGGGTCATCAATATATATATATATATATATATTTGTTTGAAAATATACAGTTTTTTTTGTTATTTAACCCACCCATCTGCCCACCCACCCCTCACTTTTATCTACCTATTCCTAGAGGTGGCACATATAGTGTAACATTAAGGGTAACCGATTTAAGTGGCCAACGAGTTACCCGTGCCGTACACGGAAGTCCGTATATTTTGAGAGCACAGTTACATCCATTTGATAGTAAGGATAGAGAGAGAGAGAGAGAGAGAGAGAGAGATAATAATTAAAAATTAATTTCTAATTAAATATTTATTTATATTTTTCCGATAATTTAGTTATCACGACATTACGGGTGAAAAACTGTTTCTCATTCAGTACGGACAGAGATCACGTCCAACTGTTGGACGAGTCGGGCTGTCCGACCAAAACCCAACTGATGTCACAGTTTTTGTACAACAGTTCCCATTCGGCCGAAGCCATTGTCTACGAGATGTTCAAGTTTAGCGATACCAACAAAATATTCATCCAATGCGATGCCATACTGTGTCGGGGCGGCTGTCAGGAACCGGTATGCGATTCGGCTACGGCTGGTGATGGGACGGGTGCGGTGGACACTAAACCACGAGAGTTGGCCATCGATTCCTATTCACAGATATCCGCTTCGACATCGTTGTACGTGTTTGAGCCGTCAGAGGAAAGTCGTAAGTGTCACAAACACACTGTCCTATTCGGTTAACACAACTGACCACTTGTTTTTCGGTCCCATTCTTCTAGTATTGGCCGCCAATCTGACCGAATGTAACGAATGGCGCTTTCCGTGGCTTATCGTACTATGCATTGTACTGACAGTCCTATTAGTTTTGATGCTTTTGGTCAATCTATTCATGTGTTCATCGCTATCGTGTCGTTGTGTCAAAACAGAGGTATATATAAATTATTATCAAACCTATGATATGGTGTTACCCATCCCTCCCCTCCTCCTCCTCCTATCGGTGTCTCAGGTAATCGAAAGGGAGCCGTCGGAAGTCGATGACTACGATCCCTATCATATCAATTGGATAACACCTAATACCGGGTACACTAGTGGTGGTGGCGGCGGCGGCGGCGGCGGCGGCTCACGGATGTCACTAAACAGGAGTGCCTTCAATAACAACTCGTTTACATCGAACAAGTCATTGGCCGCGACGGCCGCCACCAACCGATCTCATCATTTGGTCTATTATAGGGACCATTTTGTGCCGAAACATTATTCAACATTACAGTCATCGTCGGCCGGCGGCCATACAACTACTACTAACGGTACTAACCGTCCACTATCCAGGTATTCCACTCATTCGACCAAATCGCAGACATCGCAAAAATCGCGTAAATCACAAAAGTCACAAAAGTTGCCGAAAATTGTCGAAATCGACTATTCAAACGACTTCAAGCCATTCACATATTCATTAAGATAACAGTTATTATTATTATTATTATTGTATATTTAGTTATATAATTACAACAAAAACATTAAAATAATTGTAATTTAGTTTTATTTTTTGATTGTAGTTTTTTTTGTATAATAAAATTTGTTTAATAAATTATTATTTTTTTAATAAAAATCGTTTTTATAATATATTAACTTTTTTGTTGTTGAATAAATCATCAATTTTTTGTTTGTTTAATTAATCAATTTTTTTTATATTCATAATCATTGTCATTATGTCATTATTGTTTCACTGTATAATTATTGAATCATTGGATAATATAAATAAATCAATTGGGAAAATCATTAATTAATTTTTTATAATTAAATAGTTATAAATAAATTAATTTTTATAATTAAATAGTTATAAATAATTTTTTTATATATTGTATAGAATATTCTTTAATAAAAAAAATTTAATTAAAAATTAGCAAAATATATATTAATATATATATACATATAAATATTTACAAGTTGGCTATTGGCCACTATTTTGTATATATGTGTGTGTGTGTCCGGGTCGGGTCGGGTACGGGTATCTCGGATACCCCCGGTTAGTGGCGCCCCCACAACAAAAAAGTTTTTTTTCACCTAAAATATTACGTTACTATTAAATACTGTATCAATGAATTATAATATTAAGCAATTAATGAACGGTCCCTTCAATTGGGAAATAAAAAAATTATTTTTGTTTACAAATGCATTGCGTGAACAACGATGCAAACGATAGCGACCAATGAGACCACTAATTGTTGACCACTATTACCGCCGAATAATAATAACAACAACAATAATAATAATATTACGGCCACTTTGATACTAATTAGAAACATATCTAACTATCCGCGTAATGAGTAGTGGCCAATACAGACGCCCTATCGGCGGCACTGGTCGCACGTTGAATGGCGGCGGCGGTGGTAACCATCGATATACCGATAACAACAAGGATGGCGGCGGCGGCGTCGGCAACGTTGGTGTCGTCGGTGACGGCTCTGGCGGTGGCAGTGGTGGTCGTCGACATCATCATCAACGATACACTGGCCGTACTTCCGGCGGGACGGATCATCATCACCGCAGGTCAACAACTACACCATCGTTGTCCTCCGTATCGTCATCGGCCATTGACGAGTCGCTCGGCAGAGTTGCACAGCTCGAGCCGAAATGCGAACAAATCTATCGGCTAATTGTGGCCAATGTTTCCACGGATTCGACACTCGGCTACGAACGCCAACTCTGGAATGATATCAAACAATACAGACACGAAAAGGTTTGACCGATTGACCACTTTATCCAAAACACTGACCTAATTATCTTAACTTTGTTTTTAAAAGGACACAATGCTTATCAAGTATTTGATCGGTTTCTATGTAACCTTAATCGAGGCCATTGTCGTCAACGATAGCCAACGGCCAGACAGCAACAACACCAACAGCAAACAGCCGTACCATTTGTTTGTCCGTAAAGGTGGTCGCCTGTCGCCGATTACACGACTCCTACTGTACAACATTTTGATACGTATCGGTGACCTGAATCGCTATCTGAATCGTACGCCAAATGCCGACAACTACTATCAGATGGCCCGCAATCTAGACGTGAGTCGCGGACACGCCTACAATCAGTTGGCTATCAATACGCCGCCGAGTCAGCCGCTAAAGTGTATCTACTATTACTGTAGAGCTGCCAAATCATCAGTGGATCCCATAGTGATTGCCGAAACCAATCTGAAAGTTGCAATCAGTCGTTTCGATTCCGATATACTGAAAGCTATTATCATCAAAAAGAAGGAGTTGTCGCCGCCATTGTCACCGACGACAACGGCAACCAATCAAACAATTGATGACCAATTGGTGCCGACATATCCGCAGAAGGGCATCGACTGGTTTTATTTGTCTGTGATCTGTATGTACTGCGAAAACTTTGAACCGCTAATCAAACCGTTGATCCAGTTTCTGGTAACACATTGCGAACTGACGGCCAACAAACAATTGGACAGTTATGGTAATAGTAGTAGTAATGGCAACAACAACGGTAATAGCAATACGGATCTCGGTTTTGCATTGATTGCCATCGATATAGCCATCGACTACTGTTCAATCAGATGTCTGGAGCGCCAGTTTGGCGATAGCTATGGCAAAGAGTTGCGTACATTGAAGTCGACAATCAAAATATGTAGCGATGTGTTGGCCACCGATCATTCCGATGACAGTAGTAGTAGTAGTGGTAGTGGTGGTAGTAGTCGTCGACGTCGTTCACCTGTAGATGAAAATCATTCGTCTAAAGCCATGTTTCACGACTACAGTCTGCGAGGATTTTCGCCGTTAGCCAACATACACAAGAATCTGGTGTTCAATGACGACGACGACGACAACAACGATGACAAACCACAAGAACAACAGCCGCACGCCATCATCGATGCCTATCAACTGATGTCACGGGTTTGCCATAAATTGGACAAACTGTTGGCCAAATCGGCTAAACCTGTACGCCGTATGCGTAATGTGGCGCTCGGATCCATTCTGGAGAATGAATCGCACGGCTCGTGAGGTTATATATATATATATATATACTGTATATATATATCATTATTATTATTATTATCTCATCATTCAAAGTGATGGCTATCATCATCAACTGGGAAGTCCATATCGGCAATTGATTGGACAGTTACCGTAATTACTACTATAACTATTACTATTATTTAATTATTGGTAATTGTAATAATAATAATAAGTCGAAGTTATCCGAGTCATTTTTGTTGATAACATATTTTGTTTAAATTGTTTGTTTGTTTGTTTATAACTATGAATTGGATGATAATATTTCTTACATTTGTTTTTTATTTAAATTGATATTTAATTAAAATTAAATTTTAAATATATATATATTTCTTATTGATTTTTTTTTATTTATATGAAATAAGATTTTTTTTTTTAAATAATTTTATTTTGTAAAATGAATTCTTTAATGAATAGTAATAATATATGTTATATGAATTGAAATAAAATTTAAATAAAAATGGGTTAATATTTTTTTTGTTGGTATAAATTATTTTGGTATTTAATTTATATATATATTATTATCCCATATATATATATATATATATATATATATATATATATATATATATATATATATATATATATATATASAGAGAGAGAGAGAGAGAGAGAGAGAATATTCATCAATAACTATGAATTTGTGTGTTTAAAGGATAATATATATACAGTATATATATATATTAATTATTATTATTATTTGCAAGAATTTTCAAATCAAATAATTTCCAATAATTATTGTATATATTAATAATAATAATAATAATAAAATTTGTTTAATCATTTTGTATGCAAAGATCAAAGTCCTTATATATATATATATATATATGATTACCCACTATATTAATATCAATTTAATACTCACAGTATACTGTAATATACAGTGTATATCAATATGAGATTGCGATAAAATTTAATCATTTATTAAAAATAATTATCATATTATTCATACATTAATATAAAGTATAGTATTAATAATACTGTTTAAATGTGAAGTCAATTACAGTGAAATTTTTTTAWATATATTGTTTATACTGTATATGTTTCGCATATTAATATACAGTATATACACCCAAAAAAATATGTATTAATATCACTGTATATTATTATCAATATAAATATCGCGCAAATTCTTGCTAAATGTTTCGTAATTTTTTTTATATATAATAATGTATTTAATTGAAAAAATATTTTTCAACTAATATTCTTTAAAATTTTTATAAATTATATATATATTTATTTACTGTAAATAATTTTAAATAAACTTTTATTTATAAATTTTGATTTAACTCTTTTTTTGTGTTGTTGTTGTTGTTGTTGTTGACTAATATATGTTGACTATTGAGAGCGTATTTTTTTAGTGATGTTTATTATTTTGTTTTTTTTGTATAAAAAAATAAATAAATAATATTTCAGATAATTTTCTATGAAATAAATCTCATACAAAAAAATATCTATTAGATAATAAAAAAATTTATTTAACAGAATTTAGTAACAATTTTAATCATATTTACAGCAAAAAACATTAATTATTTAATTTTTTATATTTATAAATATTATTAAAAATTTATAGATATGTTTATATAATATCTAATAATAAAATATTATATAAACTCTATATACTGTATCTAATATTCATTAAAATATTAATTGAATATATTTTATAAGTTTTAAGAAATAAAAAAAAATATATATGAATATTAAAAATAATTTTTTTTWTATATTTAACTAATGGTTATTAAACTTTACAAAATAATTTATTATTATTATCAATGTTTATTTTATTTATCATATATATATTATTATTAATTTATTATTTATATATATGTGAAAATAATCACGTATTTATTAAAAACCTTATTGACTAATAAAATGGATGATTATTATTAACATTTTGTTAGTAGTATTAGTAATACTAATTTAGTATATAATATAAGAAAATATTAATATTAATATATCAATAAATTACTTATATATATATAGGTTTAAAAAATACATTATATATATATTAATACAGTTTATAGTTTTAGTATATCCTGGCTATTAAATATCAATTTATTATTGTATGTATTAAATGTCAATTTTTTTWAAAAAAAATATGTATAATATTTAGTCAATTGATATTGAGTTATAAACAAAAAAATTTTTATATTAATAATAATACTGTAATAACTAACTACAGTATTATTATTATGAATCATTGAATTTCTAATTAATTTTTAATATAATATATTAATAAAATAAAATAAAAATCTAAAATGTCTTATCGCTTACTTAAAGGATTTTATAATTTATATATAAGTTTTATATGTATTACTCAACAACAAAAAATAATCGCTAATAATTAGATAATTATTATTAAACTTTTATATAAGCGATTAAAAAATATATATTGAATATTATATAATACTACTGTATAGTATTGTATAAGAATCTGTTAATATTATATAAAAAATATTATATTAATTACATAATAAATCAGTTTTTATATGAAAAAACAGGAATATATATATAAAATATAGAATTTTTATAATATTTAAAATTTATTTTATTTTATAATATATAAATATTATTGCATAATAAAATATTACAATTATTAATCATATAAATTATTATATAAATAAATTATTACACAAAAATATATTGTAAGTAAATAACAATAATTGTATACTAAAAAAATATTATTGATATTGACTTATAAGATAAACCATTAATAATAATAATAATAATTTTTTATATTATGAATCATTAAATTTATTTATTTTTAATATAATATTATAATATTGAATAAAATCTAAGATAATATTATCATTCAATGTTAATTTGAAGGATTTTTTTTAATTACTCAAAAAAATAATCTCTAATTATTAAACTATATGTAAGCCATCAAAAAAAAAATATTTATATTCAATATTATATATAATACCTTATATTATTGTATAAGAATCTGTTTATATAAAAAATATAATAATTTATATATAATATTAATAAATAATTTTTAATTTCAAATAAAACTGGAATAAATACAGTATATATATATAATAGAATTTATATATTTTTGAAAAATATATTTTAATTTATATGTAATAAATATATTTTTTTATTGTTGCATAAAATAAAATATTACAAATGATATATAAAAATTTTATAGAAATATAATTACAATATATAATATAATATAAAAGTAATTGTACTAAAAAATATATATATATTATTATCAAATAATTAAAGGGGAAAAACTTATTTTGTAATTTTGTATTTTTTTGATTTTCTATACATATAATGAATATATAATCACAAAAAAAATAAATTCAAATAAAATCCATTAATGATTGTGTTGTAATGATTCAATAAAATAGTAATAATAATAATAATAGTAATACTAAATAACACTCTTTTGTCAAATTGTTAGTCAAACAAAAAACAATATTACAGTCAATACGTGTAATACTTATTTATTTTTTTTTGCTACAAACTTTGAAATTTTAAATTAAATTATTCAAATAATAAGAAAACTTTTTATTTTTTTAATTTTATTGAATTTTGAGTTGAATTCATGTACTAAAACATTAAAACAAAAATAAATTTTGTTTAGAAAATATTAAATATCAATAAAAAAAATAGAGTATTCAATACTGTATAATAAAAATTGTAATTGAAATTAATTAGTATTATTTGATTTAATGAGTAAATTACAGTATATTTCCATTTAGTATTATTATTATTATTATGAAATATATTGCCTTTTTATTAATATATACTGTATTAACCAATAAGTTTTTTTTGTGACCCCCTATATTAATGATAAAATTGTTATTTATTTGTACTAATAAATTATATATATATATATTTTTTTTAAAGATATCGTATTACAAAAAAAAGTTAGTATTATTTATTATTATTACAATTATTTTAATGTGATTTAATGTTTTAAGGCCTCTCTTTATATATATAAATATATTTATATTTATTTATTATAATCAATAGGATTTGGAAATAATGAAAATAATATTAATAATAATAATAATAGTTTTTTTTATTAAAACTAATAATAATAAATTAAAAATTCTATTATTATAGAATTAATACAATTTAAAATATATATATTTATATCAATAATAATAATAATATAATTTCTATGTATATTATAATATATATATATGACAATAGTTAAGGAAAAAAGAGTATCAAAAAAATATTGACAAACAATTTTGAGCACTTGTTTTCAGTTATTATTATTATTATTTAATATAATTTTAATTTTTCAATTTCACAAAAAAAATTATTTTATCCAAAAGTATAGTTATTTAAAAAATAATAATTGAATATTGAATATAAATATTTAACATTTAATATCAATAATAATAATAAAAAAATGATTGATTATTATTGTCAATAATAATAATACAGTATTTTAAAAAACTTTTTTAAGGCTTTTTTTTAGTCAATTTGTATGATTTGTTTTTGTTTTGTAAATTCAAGGCACAAGAAATTATTATTGAAATTATTTGTAGTTTTTTTGTTTGTTTGTTTGTTTTGTATCAAAAAATAGTTATTTTTTTTTATAGTTAACACAATAATAATCGGAACTATTGTTTCATATCTATCCTTAATTTGACAATTATTTTTCATAACATTTTTTACAAAAAAAAAATATATTTTATATATATATATAATCAATATTATGTGTTTATGTGTCTATAAATTTATATAAATATATATATATATATCTATTATAAGAAATTATGTAATAAATGGCTATAAAAAAAATGTTTGTATTTTTGTATGTTTTTTTATATCATATATATCTGGAAGAACTTTCTCTTTATTATTAATATATATATATATATATATATCTATGAAATACAAAATAAATTTAATGTTTTTTGTTTGTTTGTAAGAAAAGTAATGAAAAATATTTTTTTCCGTATCAAAAATATTATATATATATTTATATACTATATGTATATAACATTACAAATATTCCCAGCAATTATCAAAATATATAATAATAATAATAATAACACATTTATAGTAATAATCTATAATATATATATATATATCGCATATTATAAATAATATATATATATATATGTATGTACTGTATAAAGTTATATATATGTATGTATATGTATAAAAAAATAATAATTATTATTATTGTCAATTAATTTAGTTATAATAATTTTTTTTAATAAAAAAAATATTTGATATAATCATCGCATCAATTAATTAAATATCTATTAGTAAATGTGTTGCGTTTTTTTTAATTTTGTTTGTTTGTTGAATCCAAATACAGTGTTGAAAATTGTGTGTTGAATTGAGTTATGAATTATTATTATTATTATTATTATTAAAAAAAATAGACATCAATGAGTTTTTTGTTTGTTTGTTTGTTTTATAATAACAATAATTAAATAATCATATTATTGTGTTGTTGTAGTTGTCGTTTAAGTTTTTTGTTTGTCGATAAATATTTAATATATAAAACACAACAACAAATATAACACAATTAATAAATACAACAAAAAATAATAATAATAATTGTTGATTCAATTGGTTTCAATTCAATTCAATTAATTTTATCAAAATATATATATATATATATTCTTGAATGTAATTCTCCACACAATAGTAGTAGTAATATAACACAAACACAGAAAAAAAATAAATAGTAATAATTATTTGATATTATTATTATTATTAGAAAAAAATAATAATTATTATATCATTTTTTAAATAATTATTTAATTAATTATTATTATTATTATTCTCTAAATAATTAATTTAATTGGCAATATTAATTAATTTGATGAATATGATGATTATTACGATTTAATTAATTAATTAATTAAATTATTATGATTTATAAGGCATTTAATTATTATTAAGACAAGTAGTAGTAATCAAAAATCACATCCAATTAAATCCAATTGAAATCAAATCATCATTTGCTTTGCGACAGACTGTTCGTGTCCTGCGATTGTGTGACCCAATCGTTCGATGGCTTCGATTCTTCGATAGCCTTCTTCAACGAAATCAATTCTTTTGTTTGAAAACCAACTGATGATAACGATAGTGAAGATATCTGATGAATATCGCGATAGTGTTTCATCAGCGACTTCTTCCAAGTGTACTCTTTCTGGCAGACATTGCACGTAAAGATTTGTTCGGCTCGATTGGAATGAAAGTAATCCATATGTTCTTTGAGTGTCTGTTTGTTACCGTAGTATTTGTTACATATTTCGCACTTCCATTTGTTAGTTGATCCCCACGATGACGACGACTTCGGCTTATGGAAGGTAAACGGCAATGACTTGCGATTGTTTCGGTCGCGTATGATTGTCGACGACTGTTTAGCCGATGGTGGCGTCTGTAGGTCGCCGTTGCTATTGTTGTTGTTGTTGTTATGGTGTCGGCTGTGTTTGGCCAGCGGCTGTTGATGGCCAACACTACTTTTCGAGTGATGGTGATGCGGATGATGATGGTGTCCGCCACCGCCACCACCACTGCCAGCCCGGGCAGCTGCTGCAGCTTCGATACGCAACGAACCGCTTCGGCGACGCTTAACACCCTTATCCGTACTGTTAGGCAGATAAGCGGGAAAGTTGGTCGGATCGGCGTCAATCTGAATAAGACACGGCATCGATGGTGTCGGCGGTGCGGCAATAGAGTCGGAATTGCCGTTCAATTCGCCACCGCTTTTGTTGATCGTCTCCTGTTTGACGGAAATCTTGTTCTTTCGATTGTCGTCGTCGTTCTCGTCGCCAATCGGTTCGCTAATCGTATTGTCGTCGTCGTCGTCGACATCGTTGACAATGTCTACCCAATTGCTCGACGACTTGTTGTTGTTGTTGTCGCCGCAGCCGTTGCTCTCTCTTGTAGCCATTCTTGTGTAGCCATTGGTCGCCGCCGGCGGCGATGATGTGTTTTTTGTCGACGTTTTTGTCGGTAACTTTTGTTTTCGTCGCGCACTCTTTGATTCTGATTGGTTCACCACTTCTTGTTGTTGCGGTTGTTGTTGTTGTTGTGGTGGTGGAGACGACTCTACAGTCGCTGCTGTTGTTGTTGCTGATGATGAATGAAAGCTCTGTGTTTGTGGAGGAATATTATCGACATTATTGTGATTACAATTATTCTTATTATTGTAACTATTCTTGAGATCACTTGAATTGTTGTTTAGTTTATTATTGTTATTATTATTATTCGGCGATCGATTCTGTTGGCCAATCAATCCGTTGCGTCTGATTTTCGTCGGCGGCGACGACGAAGACTTGTTAGTCATTTGATGATTATTTTCGATATTCTGATTCTGATTATTGATCGAAGAATTTGTGGTAAATGATGTCGAATTGGAAAACGAATGGAAATTCTGTAAATTCTGGTTCTCGTTGTTCACGGGTTTGGTTATTGTTGTCGTTGTCGTCGTCGTCGGCGATGCTGTTGTCGTCGTTGGTGTTGATGATGTCGTCGATGTTGTTGTTGTTGTCATCTGATTCTTGTTAACGCAATTCTTGTGATTACTATTAATGGATGTGTTGTTTGTATTTTGATTATTATTCTGATTCTGATTCTGATTATTATTCTGTGAATTATTATTTAATTGATTATTATTATTACAATTATGATTATTACAGCTTCTGTTGCAATGGTTATTATTATTCTGTGGATTATTATTGTTGTTATTATTATTATTATTGTTGTTGATGTGATTTGAATTACCAGTACTTCGGTGGCTATTATTGTAGACCAGCTTAATGTTGGCCAAGCCTTTGATATGGAGAATCTTTGCCGACGACAGAAACGACTCGATCGCGTCCCGAGTGACCTCTACCTGTCCGTTGTAGATGAAGTGAAGGATGGCTTCCATGTCCTGGACACGTATATCCGACGGTAATATCATTATAGTATTGCAATTGTTTTGTGTGTCGGCCGTCTGGAAGGCGGCCAATGCGTTGCGAATGTAGGCACTGCTGGCGGCCATCACTACCCGATGACAACGGAATACACGACCCGAACAACAGATGGCCAAATCGGTGAACAAGCCGTCGGCAAACAGTGCGCCAAACGACTCGAAACCATCCAAATCGGAACCTTTACGAAAATGATAGGTCTTGTCATCGGCTGCCGCGGCCGCAGCCGCCTCTCCCGACGGTGATTGCGATGGCGACGAATTGTGACTATCATTCGTATTGTTGTTGCTGTGGTTGTGGTGATGGTTATGATGATTGTGATTGTGGTTATCGTCGATATCATCCATTGTTGTCATCTATGGTATGGCGCGTCTCTTCACACACACAACAACAGCGAAGAAGTAGAAGAATAGATGTGAAGAGGATATGTGACACAAGAAGAATTGATGTATCATTCAATCAATCAGACGACAGATCAGATGAACACACAATAAAAACCATTAAATAATAACAAATACAAGACTTCGTAGTCGTCGTCGTCGTCTTCTTCTGTAGGAGTCGTTGACACAGTTTGGTTGGCAATTAGGTCTTCACTTCACTGATTGATTGATTGAAGAAAATGGCTATTAGTAGTCATACATACATATCATATATAATATAAGACACAAACAGTTTATATATATATAACTATATATCATATAATAAATGGTTGGATCTATTGGTGACCAAAATAATTTAGTTAACTATACATTCATTATTAGTATAGTATTACTGTATGTATAGTATATGTATGTATGGTATAAACAACAGGAATATTGTGTTGTGTTTCTAATACTAATACTATTCAATAATAATAATAATAATAATATTCAATACATTTTACTGTACAGTATATACTGTAATGAAATGAGTCAAATGGTTTGCCACACAATGTATGTATGTATGTATGTATGGGTTGGTTGTGTGTGTGTGTGTGTGTGTGTATTGAGGGATAGTATAACTATCAGAAGCAGATACCAGTGCTCTCTCTCTCTCTACACAATGTATATGATATATACAGAGCCCTGTGCTGGCACTGTGTAGTTGTAATACTAATAATACGATAGATATTATTTAAAAGTGTATATTATATATGAATTTTTATATTCACTTCATATATATATATATATAGTATATATGATATGTATTTTGACGGCCGTCACCAAACAAGTGGTTGAGGAATATTATTATATCACGGGATCAGTTAGATATTGAGCACTTGTAGGTTAGTTTTTTTTTGGAGACACGTAGTATAATATAATAAATATATATATACAATTAGGTTGAATCACTACATTACATACATAAGCACTGGTTTATATAGTGTCTGTCTATACTATACTATACTATACACTATAAGCGCACAATTCTCTAATCAATTTTAAGTATTTAGAGTCCATTTCCTGTTATATTCATATCATTCCCAATGAGAGAGAACTGGTAGTGTAGTTGACTGGTTGTGTTGTGTGTGTGTGTGTGTGTGTGTTGTATATTCAGTATTCAGTGAGTGGTGTTTCAGGGAAGGAACGGGCAGTGAAACAAACATTTATATATCAAATGTTCAGTACAAACAACTTTTGCGAGCTTATGTATGTATTATATACAGGCACTGGTATCACATGAATATGGAGTGAGAGAGAGAGAGAGAGAGAGAGAGAGAGAGAGAGAGAGAGAGAGAACATATACACACACACAGAAAGCTATGTTATTCTCGGTCGGGGAAAGGCCTGTGCGATAGCAAAACGAAAGGCCCTAACAATTGTTGCTTAAGTTTTTAGAGGAGAGAGAGAGAGAGAGAGAGAGAGGGAATGTTAGGCTATGGGACTGTTGTGTTCGCCTTTTGAAGTTCTTGTACCTAAAAACTACTACTTCTCTCTCTCTCTTTCTCTCTATATCTCTAGTTATCAAACTATTAGACAGACTGACAGCAACACAACGAGAGAGAGAGAGAGAGAGAGAGAGAGAGAGAGAGAGAGAGAGAGAGAGAGAGAGAACTGAATTTTCAACTCCAGATTCAATTGGAAATGGAGTTGTTTTGCGCAAATAGCTATAGATATTCAGTACATACATACATACATACATACGTACAGTCAGAGCACTGGTAGGTTATATACCAGGGCATTGCACTATGTAGAAGAACTGGCAATAATAATAATAATCACTATATACACACACTATATTACCAGCACCACTACCCAGTGACTACAGTATATACAGTATATACTGTATATTACAACCCAGAATCCATAGGCCTGTATAAGTATATATACTGTAGTCAACTAGTGGTGGTGTGGTGTAGTGTGACGTACCCCCCTCTTTACAGACAGGTGCCCACACCCCCTCCACACACACACACAATAACCTACACTTACCCCCTCCCCCCATAAATACCACCCCTTCCTTCATCATCATCGACACAATCGATTCAATCAAAAAACGATACATACATTTAATGAATATTATAATAATAATAATAATAATATACTGAATATTTACTGTATGTATAAGTATTTTATTGAATCAGAATTTTCTAGAAAAAGCGTTTATTTATTATATTTTTTTTAACTAAAACTAATGTTTTTTAATAATATTTAAATTTAAAAAAAAAACATTTTAATAGTTTAGACAATACTTTAATATTGTTTTTATTTAAATTAATTAATTAATTTTTTTGTTGGGTTTAGTTTATTGTTATGTTTTTTTTTGGTTTTAGTAATTGTTTTAGTAATTTGTTGGTTAAATTCAGTACATAATCACATACATAGTGTATAGTAGAGTTTGATTTCATTATCATTATTACATTATTATTATAATTATTAGAGATATTCAATGAATATCTGCAAAAAAAACATTTTACATCAAAAAATGTAATTATGATTCTTATGCTATGTTTTTTAATACTGTATGTACAGTACATACCCTAACACTATATATATATATACAGTATGTATATGTAGTGTTCAATAGCCTTATAAAATTCAGAAACAATACTAATAATAATAACTGAATTGCATTTTTACAGTACAAACGCATACATAATAATAATAATAATAATACTGTAATTCCTATTCTTGTTTTTTTTTTGTGTTGGGACGCCTGAGCTCTCACTACAGTATACAGTGTGTATACCTGACAACTATAAGGGTATGGGTTGTGATGATAGTGTGTGTGTGTGTGTGTGTGTGTGTAGTGAAGTGGTTGTTGGTATGTATGTGTTAGTATCTACGTGTCTCCGCCACTGATATAAAACACACACTCACTCACTCACTCAC